ACACCCTTTATAGTTTGCGGCGGGGTGGTGCCTCGGCCGCCCGTGCGGCGGGAGTGCCACTGGATATCATCGAAGCATTTGGTGGCTGGGCCGCAGGCTCGTCGGCGTTGCGGGAGAACTACCTCGATTTGGGGGTCCGTGGCTGCCCTCGTGCGGTCGCCTTCTTTGGCCCTCTCGCGGCCCGGCGTGTCGCGCCGGTGATGGGTCAGTACTTTAACCGCTGAGAGGGGGTGTCTTTCCTTTTGGCAATAGACTCGTAGCAGGAGCTAATGCGGGCTATGCGAAGCTTGAGCCGGGTTAGCTAAGGCGTAGGGCCTTACGGCCGTTTTAAGTGGTACGACTTGAGGCCGGCGATCCGTGTCCTCAGGATCGTCTTTTGCATAAATAGCGCGTGTTGCAGGTTTTCTGTATCTTGTTTTTGTTGTTCAGCACGCGCCCCGCCCTCCCACCCTGGAGGCCGCGTCGCCCGCCCTTTTCGCTCTACTACATTATTTCTTTTCCTTTTGGTTCGGTGCGGCCTTTTCATCGATCAGGCCGTAAGAGCACAGCCAATATCTGTAACAGAAATGGCAATGGCAATAGACTCGTAGCAGGAGCTAATATAGTCTGCATTTCAAGTACGTCATGATACCGTGGGGTCACAGTCCCCATATACATGACTGCGTTGCATGACAGACGTTACAGAATGGACCCGGATAACGGGGGCTGTCCGAGTCGGCGAACAGAAAAAGGTGCACCAAAATGTGCATAAACCAGCAAAGGTGAGAACAGGTATCACGGCGAGCCCAGCGTGGCTGTCTTCCGTGAAGGAGAATTACAACCCCTGCCATTTCCCACCACTCCCACCCCCCGAACTTGGCCAGAAAAGGGATGGTTGTCGCGATGTCATCGGACGCGATTCGTCAGACTTGGAAGGCCGGCTCAACTGCCTCGGGGAATAGACCCTATCGTCCTTGCTAAGCGGCGTTTCCGGCACGTAGGCAATACGTCTTTGTTGGTGATCAAAAATTAAAGACACATATTACCTATGCTACAGCCTATGGACAAACCTGAACTCGGCTGCCATTTCACATGTGCGCATATGTATGAAATGGCCCCGGCCGAGGTTTCACAGAAATTCACGCATAACAAGTAACAGCAGACTTATAAAGGAGCAAATAATGGAAGAAAATATTTCAATCATTAAAATAACCACGCTGGGCGAGCCCCGTCTCTCGGACCGGACAGCCCAAAATTGCAATTGCGTAGACAACATGTAAATAGCAGCACCATGTCACACCATAGAACAAGTCCTCAGACAAAACTCCTGCTAAGATTCATCATCCATCAAACAGTATGTACCGGGGCGGCGGGAACATAGCTAACAGTTGTCAACGAACGACCTTCGACGGCCTCCTCAACCTGCGCCTCCGCCCGCCTCCGCCGTACACGCAGCGTTTTGAACTGGTTTTACGTTTGCGCCCCGACTAGTACGAGGGCCTTATGGCGGAGGGTCAACGGTCTCCACCGACCAAGAGACCTATAAAGCAGGCTCCGGCTTCATGTAGCAATCGTGTCACGTTCAACGGTGTGCAGCCATACACCGAAAGTGATGGAAGGGCTATTGGGGCGGAATATTGTGTAGGGTGCAGTTGGGCATACCTTCCTGGGTTTCATGCAACTGGGGAAGGCCAGCGACATCGGATTTTGTAAATCTCTGATGCAAATCATCACATTGCAGCGGTTTAGCACACGACAGGAGTACTGAAAAGTTAGTTAGCAGCTCGCATCCTCTCGCGGAACTGGAGGCGCGCTTAGCTAACAGATCAACGCAACGAAATTATTGGGCGTGAAGCAAACAGAGGCTTTGGGCGTGCGACCGGTGAGTCCCTGTGACATCGCTCTGCAGCACGGAAACGATTGTAAACTGCTCGATCACCGCGCCAATTGCACTGCGTTTTTACCCTAAGCACGATACAAGCACTACATGATTTCTCTATCTTATGAGATCGCGATGGTGAATTTATCAGCCTTTTGTGCTTTGGAGACGCACGTTCACACGCGAAGCGTTTCATGGCCCTCAATTACATTGCCCCAGGCCTGAGGCGGCATGGCCACCGGACTGGCATTTGCGCTAGTACTCTGGCTCGCGGCCTCCATTCTTGGTAAGGGAGTTTTTCGTATTTAAACGGCTCGCTAGGTCGCCCTATGGCATATGCGCTGTCGGACTCGTGTTCACAAGCTTCAATGACGGCTACCGAAGCCTTTGCTTAATTTTGCTCATCGCTCGCTCATCGCGCCTAAACGCTAAAACGATGGCTAAAACGAAGACTAAAACTAAAACGTATGCGTCGATTCGTAAGCATGAAAACCTCCTTGCGTTGTCATAAACCTGCCTCACAGCTTCTGTTTATTGTTTACTGATTTTATCAAAATTTATTATTTATTTAATTGTTGATTGTTTTGGCCCCGCTGGATACCGCTTTTCACGCATGTCATGGCTGGAAGGGCGCGCAGCGGCGTCCGGCGGACTCCTTGCCAATGCAGGATCATCGGCAACATCTTTGAATCGCCCCGGGCGCGGCCTCGTGGCCACGGCAAGCCAGGGATTTCCTTGGTGCGGTTGTGAGACGTACGACTGTGCCTGCAGCCCGTACACCTTGATACCGTTACCACCTGTTCAGGTACGCCGCCCCTTCAAGAATGCTAATACATTTTGTGTATTTTATGCACGTCACTCCGTTCCCGCGCACAGCCGCCATCCTGCGGTCTTTGAAACTGAAAATCCCGGATCTGGCTTATGTGCAACCCACCTTATCCCACCAAGAAACCGCCTGATAAATGGTGATATGTGTGTATATCTAATCTCCCTAACGGCTTGTTGCAAGCGTTAAAGGAAATTTCATGAAGCACATCCCCATGGGTTGGCCACCAGCTGAGTTTTGAGTTACATGCTTAGGGTTTCCCTGTTTAACCTTGCATCTACCCCTTCACGACCCAAAATGCAACCCAACTTGCAGAGGGCGGGCTTTGTTCGGACTTGCTTTCGTGTGGCCTACGTCGGCTGTGACCGCAATCTGGCGTGTTGCAGAGAGCTCTTGGGCAGCGTGCAGAGACTGATCCTAGACACCAACCCCCAATGCGTTGATCAGTTCAATCTTGGCGGAGTTCTGGTCAACGGCCAGCCTTCCCAGTCTTGGTCCATCAGTACTCATGACTCGGGTACGTACGCACGTGCAAACATGTTTAAAATGTCATAAAAATTTCATACGGATGACATGTGGATGACTGGTTGATGCAACTTCTGATGTGTAAATATAATAACGACTTATCTTAATACATGTCGTTTTTCACATCTGTACTTGGCCTTTTCTCCTGGCTGTAGGCTACGAGCTGAAGATCTCCAACCTCCAAGCGAGCAATAGCACCTTCCCGGGCAGCACCATTTGCATAGTAGGCTATCCGGAATGCTCAACTTGGGCGGACGTTTGCAGGGGATATCCTGCACGGGGCTGCAGGTGCGTGAGAAAGGGTACGGGAAGCATCAACGGGACCCGGGACTCGGAGACATAAGATCCCTGGGGGGCCAAAGATGGGAAAACCGACGAGTACCATTATGAGCCGACCTGGGATATTAGTTAGAACTTGTCAAGGGCTTAGCGATGCAGCAAGTTCCTTTGGACCAATAAATCTACGATGGGGTGTGTGGAAACGGGAACTTTAGGGGCTGGCGACTGGGGGAACACCACCGTTGTCAGTTGGTCAGTTGACTGGAACAGCTCGAGAGAAGCGTTTCGGGAGACTGGCAACACGTAGAGAGGCTACATGTGGAAACTTACACAATCCTAATTCTGGTGTTTAAGGCTGACTTAAACCGACCTTACTATCAGCTATGTCCCACGCGAATCAACGACCCCACAGTAATTTCTACACTTTACTGTCCCTCGCCCCACCTTCACATAGGTACTCTCTGGTGGACACAGCGGACAGCAAGAACTGTCCCATATGCCGCCTAAACACGAATCAGCCTCCACCGTCAATACCGGCACCACCCTTGCCACTGTCCCCAAAACCCCCAAGTCCGGCACCGCCTTTTCCGCGACCACCTACTCCCCGGCCTCCGTCAACACAGCCGCCGAGCCCTATTCCGCCGTCTCCTCAGCCGCCCAGCCCATCCCCGCGATCTCCTCAACCGCCCAGCCCTGCTCCACTGTCCCCTCAGCCGCCAAGCCCTGCTCCACCCTCCCCTCAGCCGCCCAGCCCTGCTCCACCCTCTCCTCAACCGCCCAGCCCTACTCCACCATCTCCTCAGCCGCCCAGCCCTACTCCGCCATCTCCTATGCCGCCAAGCCCTGCTCCACCCTCTCCTCAACCGCCCAGCCCTACTCCGCCATCTCCTCAGCCGCCCAGCCCTACTCCGCCATCACCTATGCCGCCAAGCCCTACTCCGCCATCTCCTATGCCGCCCAGCCCTGCTCCACCCTCCCCTCAGCCGCCCAGCCCTACTCCACCATCTCCACAACCGCCCAGCCCTGCTCCGCCATCTCCTCAGCCGCCCAGCCCTACTCCGCCATCCCCTCAACCACCCAGCCCTGCTCCACCCTCTCCTCAACCGCCCAGCCCTGCTCCACCCTCTCCTCAACCGCCCAGCCCATCCCCACCCTCTCCTCAACCGCCCAGCCCTACTCCGCCATCTCCTCAGCCGCCCAGCCCTACTCCGCCATCTCCTCAGCCACCCAGCCCTGCTCCACCCTCCCCTCAGCCGCCCAGCCAATCCCCACCCTCTCCTCTACCCCCCAGCCAAT